CTTCATCACTTGGACGGGGGGCAGTTGTTGTTGATTCGTCTGTGTCGAGGGAGAAGGTATGCGCGGCGGTATCACGGCTTTTCTCAGCCGGTTGTCCAGGTTGTACTGGTTGGGAAGAGGTTCCCGCATCGCCTTTGCGCAGATCTTGGAGTTCTTTCTCCATAGTTGAAAGTCGAGCGAAAAGTTGCTCGAGAGCGGCAGTGCCGATCGTGGTTATCGCCTCATTTGTCGCAGCCGGATTGGATTGTCCTTCAGCCGTCAAATTTGCTTGGCCTCCGGATCCTCCGGCCATCTTGGTCTTTGAGCGTGTGCCGCTCGCCAGATCTTGATTCGGCGAATTTCACGGAAGTGAAGTTGCGAAGAATCCCTGAGTAGCTCTCATACCATGTTACAATCCCAAAGGGGACTTAGCGAAGGATCGCTCAAGGTTGATCGCAGAGTAGTGTTTGCAGCGGAAGTTTGAATCTCAGGTCAGAGTGAATGTAAATGACTGAGTTGATAATAGCATGCATACATTGGGTTTATATAATAATACAGGGGAATACAAAAAGACGTAGGCTAGTCATGTACTCTAAGGGGTACATTCCCTTATTATATCAATTTCAAACCGTGCGGCGCGGGAACTTGTTTTTGAACCTGTTCCCGCTCTTTCCACTTCAAATGTTTCTGCCTGCATCGGTCTTGGTCAGGCGGTTGCCGCGACGCTTCGACTCTTCTGACTCCTCGACTTCGTACTCGGTAGAGTCGGCTCCTGCAGCATACAGGAAAGCCTTCTCATAAAACTTCGTGTCGTAACACATAGCAATGAATCTCACGCCAACTGCTGGATTGCAGGTCAATGCAGAAGGCCTGAGTCACTAGGCCTACAGGTACAGACAATGGCACCAGAACCACTCCATCTCTGAATTATTACATCTCTGAATCACCACCAAGCACAGATTATTCAAAAGCAATGTATTTTATACCATCATACGGTAGTTGTGAACCAGAGGTGTTCGTGAATACTTTTGTTCGCGAAACAGCTCCCTCCTCTATCTTACCGAGTGTGAAAACGCGGGAATGTTGTTCTCGCTTCATGCCGGACCAAAGCCCAAGTGCTGAACCAAACCGACCGCCTTGGTAAGGCCGAGCTTACCGTTATCCGTGCCACCAATTACCCTCCCAGCCAGCCTGCAATTCATCTAATAGGCTTCAACTGAACCGTATTCTATTCCACCGCAACCTACAGCACCGTGCAAAGGCGCTCTCAAAACTCAAACCGCAAGACTTCACAAAAAATCCAGACCATTATAGCAGGCGTCACCCACAAGCTACTTCATTCACATTTGCTTACTTCGTTCCTAACAATTCGTTTAGCAATTACTCCAATGAACCGTTAGTATCCCTTAACTCTTGTACTAGAGGTCGTTTTAAGTCCTCAACGATGGCCCATGACCGTGATGATGTCTGTAAAAGTGTATTAACGGCTGAAATAGACAGTCGAGCTCCCTCACGTGATGCCAAGCGTCAGCGAAGAGACTTACGGGCCGCTGGAGATGATTCAGTGGCTAGTCCACCCCGAACGGACTTGCTGTCATCTCAAGGTACTTTCCCATGCATATATCCCATGTATGTTGTATGCGTGAAGTTTATTTGATATTCTCAAGGTCCGCTGAATAGCTGCAAGAGTCAGACGAGCATTTTGATTTGTACAAATGCGTGACATTGTTCGTTCATCCAACAGAAAGTCGTTCAAGGACTCAACCCAACATGCGGACTCGGCAACTGCGCGAGGACAAAAAAATGCAGGGTGCGAGGCTGTTAATTGACACGATCGAAAAACTCAATGCATTCCACGCTGCGAAAATGAAGGAATACAAAAACTTCATAAGGGATGCTAAACCTGCTCTTGACCAGAACGGATCCCGAAGCAGTAAAAATTGCTGTGATTGTAAGCGTCGTGGTGCTACAGGCGCTCATGATGTGGGATGACGAATTCCTGGAGATGTGTGAGATGGCTACCATTGGATGTCTGTCACTGCAGAAGAAGGGTTCAATCACAGATGACAGAAGACTTTCTCTCAGTTGAAGATTTTTTTCTCAGGGCAACCCCGCTGCTGAGACTTATTTATCTGTAGAGCATGCGTGACACTGCCCGGCTGTCCAGTTGCAGTATGTCTAATGCGGCTTTGGCAGGTCAGTGTTGTTGGGCAGCACTTTTCGCTCATTTTGCATGTGCTGCTGGTCCCCTTGTCATAAGCTTAGCTAGGCTAAAGGAGCCATAGCTAGTTGAGTTCGAGTAAGTTGAGTAGAGTCGAGAGAATTGAAAAGAGAAGAAGGGTTTTCACTATAGAGCGAGCAGTACATATAGGCAAGATGAAAGGTGCACCACCAAAACAGAACATTATATAACTACACTAGTCTACACTACAGGCAGTTACAAAACAATATATAGAAATATATATTATTCTTGACACCCCTCACATTTCAATGTGAAGGCCTGGGGAGTGGGACTAGTTGACCTTTTATGGTTCCCAGTGATGCTTTGGTCTGTAATAATAACTGGAACACCCTGCTCAGTTGGCTTCAGCTTTTTGTTTCCGTTACCGGTAGATTTGGCTACGTCCATTCTCCTGAGAGATTTTCCTCTGTTACCAGCAGAGGCAAAGGAAAGGACCTCCATTCAGCTCAGGTTGCAGTACAGAGATCATGGCGTACGGTAAAACCCAAGACCTGTGTTTGATTGCAAAATCTCAAAGCAAACAAAATCTTCAGGTACCAGGCCTCACGTTTTCAGAGTAAATTACTCTGTTTCTCTGAAAATCAGAGTCATTTTTGAAAGTAACTCTGTACCCGCTGGGTAATTTTTTTGGGACTTCCGATTTCTCTGATTTGTCAGAGTTATGTTGTAGTTTACTCTGAGGCCTCTGGGTTTTTTTTTTTCGGGGACCGAATTTACTCTGTATAGGAAAACCTGCCGGCCCCCCTCCCCCGCCCCCCTCCCCTCCCCACCCCCCCCTGCGTTTAGCGGGTTTTCCCCGAATCGTCGAGATCATTCTCCTGATTTGTGTCGTGTGTTGGCGGCAATATGAGCGCTGATTGGCTACCGTAGTTTGACAACTTTCCCAACCAGCGCACCATGCCAGCCAGTCCCCTCTCTCTTTATGTCTGAAGTGAACGTCGACGTTTCCCGACGAAACTTTGAGGGACGTCGAGGAATCCTGACGGTCGGAACGCTCAGACCGAGGGTTGAGATTTGCCAGCATTCCCCGACGGAACTGTACATCCGTCTAAATTTCACTTCAGACACGCTCTTAGTCAGATTATCGGTGCCGCCAACACCTCACTCTGAAACATCGCAGTGAGGGGGGAAACGTGGGCGACGCGGAAATGAAACATAATGCAAGTACAAAAGGCGTAACAAAAACCTATTAAGGTCATGGTACACCAAACTTAACTAACATCAGAGTAGAGAAAAATATTACTCTGACGTGCCTGGTTTTTTTTTTTTTTTTTTTTTGTAAGTAAAGGGTTACCGTAATACCCCGGATATAAGCGCACCTGCGCTTATAATAAAACAGTGTTTTTTGGGGGGGTGCGCTTATAATTGAGTCAGATTTATAAGCGCATGCGCTTATATAATAATAAATGCAAATTTATAATTCATTGGCACCAAACTGTACATCTCCTTCTTGTGATTTCAATCGAACCGAAGTGGTAGCGAGTCGTAATTCAGATTCGCGCGTGAGCAGGGCTGTCGCTTGCAGGGCGTTTGCCCTGCTGGACCTTGAATTCCAGGGCTGGGTTGCCCTTGAAAACTGAAATTGATGGGTTGGAAATATTCTGGCCCTGATTCTTTACAGGGCTGATTTCGGGCTCAGGCTTGGTGTTAAAAGGGCAGATTTTAGGCGAGCCCTGGAACAGAATCTCTCGAGTCCCCCGTTCCACTCCCCTCCCCCCCCCAACACTCCTCTCCTTTCCCCTTCGTTTCTAACCTGATTGCATCCAACAAGGCAATTTCGAGTTGCTTGGTTGGGCCACAAATTCAACTCAGACTAGAACTTGTGCTTAAACCAATCACAGCTCGCTCTCTGTGGAGTGGGTGACGGTTAAGGTTGGGTAGAAGTGCACAAGAACTACCCTGAAGGTTGGGTAGTAGATGTGCAGACGATCATCGGTTCTGCAAAGGCTAGGAAGCCTGCAAAGCGTGCGTAGTGATATGACGCTAACTATTTCTCTTCTTGTCGTGTTTGCTTGCTTGTCGTTGTTCTCAAACAGTAGTTGTAAGCTTGGTATTTGAAATGAGGCTCCCGATTTTTTCGCGCCAAACCTGATTCAAGGGAGGAAAATTTTCCAGCCCTGAAGCCTGAAGGGCCGAGATTCGCCCCAACCCTGCTAAATACAGGGTCATACATGCCGGGCCCCCTGTTTTGTCCGGGGGGGCCAAAACGAAACAACAGGCCTGCGCGTGAGCGATTTTCTGCCGGCGCACAGAGGAAAATTTACACGTCACTATCAGAAATGCCAGCTCATACTGACTGGACGCGCAGTATGTGAGGTCCTCGAAAGTCAATCGAAGCGAAAATAGTTGTATCCTCACTGCAAAATTTGAAATCGCTACCGTTTTAATCTGGTTAAAATTTAGAATTATACGTGCGCTTATAATAAATCAAGGTTTTACAGGGGGTGCGCTTATAAATGAGGATCGGCCATAAGCGCATTGCTCCAGATACAAGCGCATGCGCTTATAATAGGCCTGCGCTTATATCCGGGGCCATACGGTACTCTGACAAATCAGAGTAAGGCGCAGGAACAACCCTAGATTTCAGAGTTGGGAAAAAAAACTAGACTGGAAATCAGAGTACCTAAAATCCAAAAATAGGCCCTGTACCAGGTCCACTCCAGCCTGGTTTGTAAAGAGTTTGCCTTCTATACTGTAGAGATAGCAACATAATAATACCAAGAGGTACAATACGACATAACACGATTACAACATGTTACAGCAGGAGTGTATTGGATTCTCAGAATGTCTCCTCTCCACTCTCAATAGCGTGCAGCAGTGTCAGCTCCCCAATCAGCCTGACCGAATCAAACGGTCCCACTGCTGCCTTCACCTCCCCAGCTGCCTCCTCCTTTTTCCTCACTAGAGTCCGCTCCATTACAGACAACTCGTCACCACCATCACTAATTGAGCCATCAGTATTTCTCTCGCCAGCAGCTCCGGCTGTAGCAGCACCACCACCACCAGCAAGAACGTCAATGTCACCTCCACCAGTTAAACCTTCACCCAACAGTCTCTGACTAGTAATTCCTTGTCCCCCCTGCTGCTTCAGCATCTCTGCATCTCGAGCTAATGCTCTCTGCTCCTCTGCTTCTGACCACACCAAATCCTCATCTTCCTCCTCCCCCTCCTCCGCTTCTGAATCCCCCCCCTCTCCCTCCTCTCCACTCTCTCCCTCATCCTCTTCATCCTCCTCCGTCTGATCCTGTTCTCCCCATTCATCTTCATTACTATCACCATCGCTATTGTCACCACTCCTATTGTCACCATCGCCTGTCACAATGTATCCTCCTGCTGAAGCATCAGACAGGCCCAGCAAGTCCCAGTCAGCGCTGAGCTGGAGGCGTGCCACGTGGCACAGGATGGAGGCCTGCTGCCGCCACGTGGCGGCCTCGTACGCTGCCAGCACAGCAGCACGCGTGGCGGCAGCTGGCAAGCCAAGGGCCTGCTTCAGGCCGCTCACAAGCACGTTCGACTGTGATTGTGATAGTGACTGTAATGATTGTGATTGTGATTGTGACAGAGCCGAAGGGAAGAGCTCAGGAAAAAGGCGCTGGAAAAAAGGCTTCTGTGGTTCGAAGCGGACCTGCAACAGAATAGAGCAGAGCAGGGGAGGCATGAATCACCAGGGATAAGATACTCAAGATGAGGGAAGAGCTCAGGAAAAGGTGCTGAAAGAAAGGCTTCTGTGGTTCAGAGCAGACCTGCAGCAGAGCAGAGCAGAGCAGAGCAGGGGAGGCATGAAACACCAGAGATACTCAAGAGAAGAGAAGAGCTGAGGGAAGAGGCGCTGAAAAAATGGCTTCTGTGGTTGAATAGGTGAGTGGAGAACAGCAGACGCTTGAAACATGGTGGAAGCATAGTAAGAAACCTGTCAGCCTACCGCTCTCTGAATCGCTCTAAACCGCTCGGTTTAATACCATATGAACATGCGTTAAAGGCAGGGTGCCGGGTAAACACCAAGTCTGGTCGGTACCAGACAACGCACTGAGCCACGTCACTCCACACTCTCGCTCAGCACCCCTCTTCACCGCCCTAAACCCACACAGTGCACACCTCAAAAGCAGGATGCCAGGTAAACACCAAGTCTGGTCAGTACCAGGCCACACACTGAGCCACATCACTCCACGCCCTCTTGGTCAGCACCTCTACACTGCTTGGAACCTCACTGAACCGCTTTGAACCACTCTCAAAGCCTCCGCAACCACTCACTACATACCTCAAAGGCAGGGTGCCTAGTAAAGACGAGGTCTGGTTGGTGCCAGGCAACGCACTGAGCCACGTCACTTCATGCCCTATCTGCACCACTCTAAACTGACCTATAAATCAGTACATACCTCAAAAGAAGGGTGCCTGGTGAAAACCAAGTCTGGTCGGTACCAGGCCACGCACTGAGCCATGTCACTCCACGCCCTCTTGGGTAGCCGTCCCATCAGCCACATCTGCGCCCTGCTCTCTCTACACCACTCTGAACCTCTTCAAACACCCGTCACACCACCAAGACATACCTCAAAAGAAGGGTGGCGGGTAAAAACCAAGTCTGGCCGATACCAGGCGACGCACTGAGCCACGTCACTCCACGCCCTCTTGGGCATCCGTCCCATCAGCAGCTTTGAACCAATGATACCATGTGCAACCACACGGTACACACCTCAAAAGTAGGATGCCTGGCAAACACCAAGTCTGGTCGGTACGGTACCAGGCCACGCACTGAGCCACATCACTCCACGCCCTCTTGGGTAGCCGTCCCATCAGCCACCTCTCCACCCTGCTCTCTCCACACACACTCCTGCACTGTTTCAAACCGCCCTGAACCGCTCTGAAAGCACAATACATACCTCAAAAGCAGGATGTCTAGTAAAGACGAGGTCTGGTCGGTACCAGGCCACGCACTGAGCCATGTCACTCCACGCCCTGTTGGGTATCCATCCCATCAGCAGCTTTGAACCACTGATACCATGTGCAACCACACGGTACATACCTCAAAAGAAGGATGCCTGGCAAACACCAGGTCTCGTCGGTACCAGGCAACGCACTGAGCCACGTCACTCCATGCCCTCTTGGGTATCCGTCCCATCAGCCACCCACCTCTGCATCCTGCTCTATCCACACACACTCCTGCACCGCTCTCAACAGCTTTGAACCACTGATATCATGTGCAACCACACGGTACATACCTCAAAAGAAGGGTGCCTTGTGAATATCAAGTCTGGTCGATACCAGGCAACGCACTGAGCCACGTCACTCCACGCTCTCTTGGGTATCCGTCCCATCAGCCACCTCTGCACGTGCTCATCCATTTTCTGGCTTGAAAACCAGACTCCTGCTGAGTCTGAAGCAACAGCAGCAGCAGCAGCAGCAGCAGGTGAATCAGATGAAGCGGAGCCGGTGGCAATAGCTGCTCCAGTTGCGGCTCGACCCGTGTTGACCTCACCAGCAGCGCCAGCTGTGCTCCCAGCATCGTGTATAGCAGCAGGGTTGTCCGCAGAATCAGTAGCTGTGTCTGTAGCAGCGGCTCGGATTTCGTGAAGGGCAGTGGTGAGGGTGAGAGGGGGGAGGGCGAGTTGAGCGACGAGCGTCCACTGCAGCCAAGGGGGCTGGTGGGGGAGAGGCGAAGAAAGGGAGACGAGAGGGGCAGAGAGGGAGGGCAGAGTAAGTCGAAGTGTGAGGAAGGTGTGGCGGCAGGGCGAGCTGGGCGTTTTTTGAGAATTCTCAAAAAACACTCACTGGTGGGGGAGAGGCGAAGAAAGGGAGACGAGAGGGGCAGAGAGGGAGGGCAGAGTAAGTCGAAGTGTGAGGAAGGTGTGGCGGCAGGGCGAGCTGGGCGTTTTTTGAGAATTCTCAAAAAACACTCACTGGTGGGGGAGAGGCGAAGAAAGGGAGACGAGAGGGGCAGAGAGGGAGGGCAGAGTAAGTCGAAGTGTGAGGAAGGTGTGGCGGCAGGGCGAGCTGGGCGTTTTTTGAGAATTCTCAAAAAACACTCACTGGTGGGGGAGAGGCGAAGAAAGGGAGACGAGAGGGGCAGAGAGGGAGGGCAGAGTAAGTCGAAGTGTGAGGAAGGTGTGGCGGCAGGGCGAGCTGGGCGTTTTTTGAGAATTCTCAAAAAACACTCACTGGTGGGGGAGAGGCGAAGAAAGGGAGACGAGAGGGGCAGAGAGGGAGGGCAGAGTAAGTCGAAGTGTGAGGAAGGTGTGGCGGCAGGGCGAGCTGGGCTACAAGCGTCCACTGCAGCCACGGGGGCTGGTGGGGGAGGGGAGGGGAAGGGGGGTGGCAGGGGAAGAGTGGTTCAGGATTGAGCATTGTGAAATTCGTCAAGGGCTGTGGTGAGGGTGAGAGGCGGCAGGGCGAGTTGAGCGACGAGCATCCACAGCAGCCACGGGGGCTGGTGGGGCAGGGGAGGGGAAGGGGGGTGGCAGGGGGAGAGTGGTTCAGAATTGAGCATTGTGAAATTCGTCAAGGGCAGTGGTGAGGGTGAGAGGAGGGAGGGCGAGTTGGGCGACGAGCGGCCACTGCAGCCACGGAGGCTGGAGGGCAGACAGGAAGGGAGGCGAGGGAAGGGAAAGGGGGAGGGGTGGGCGGGCGGTAGCAGGATACGAAAGGATGAGGACTGAGGATTATAATGAGCAGAGACGGCAGTGGTGAGGGTGAGAGGCGCAGGGCGAGTTGAGCGACGAGCGTCCACTGCAGCCATGGGGGCTGGTGGGGGAGGGGGGAAGGAGGAGGGACAAGTGGAGGGAGGAACAGAAGGAACAGAGGGACCAGAGGTTTGGGTTGGGGCAGGTGCGTCAATACGCTTTCATGAAGGACGAGTTGTTGGGCAACGATAGGTGACATTTGGAAGAAAGAACAAAAAAACAAGCTGGGGGGTGAAGGAAAGAAATAAACGGAATGGGGGGGGGAAAATAGAAGCGAAAGCTACAACTTTTGAGGGCCCTCACAACAACTAGAAACACTCACCCGGGATTTGGGTCGAGATTTGGGCTCTCCTGTTGCATCTGAATCGAGTGGGGTCTGCTTCTTGCGTGCAAACAAACACAAAACAAGTCCGGCTCAACAGCCGCCCCTGGTTCCCCTGGTTCCCCTGGTTCCCCTGGTTCCCCTGGTTCCCCTGGTTCCCCTGGTTCCCCTGGTTCCCCTGGTTCCCCTGGTTCCCCTGGTTCCCCAAGCCCCCCCCCCCCTAGTTTCAAGAGCAACAACAGCAGCACTCACTCGGGATTTGGGTCGAGATCTGGCCTCCTCTGTCACATCTGAATCGAGAGGCGTCTGCTTCTTGCGTGCAAACACAAACAACAAGTCCGGCTCCAAAGCCAGCCTCTGTTAGTAAGAGCACCTGCACTCACTCGGGATTTTGGGCGAGCTGTTGCATCTGAATTGAGAGGCGTCTGCTTCTTGCGTGCAAACACAAACAACAAGTCCGGCTCCAAAGCCAGCCTCTGTTAGTAAGAGCACCTGCACTCACTCGGGATTTGGGCGAGCTGTTGCATCTGAATCGAGAGGCGTCTGCTTCTTGCGTGCAAACACAAACAGCAGGTCCGGCTCCACAGCCGCTGCTGGCTCCAATGCCGGTGTGGTTGGTGTGGAGACGAAGGAGTCGAGAGCCTTCTCGTAGCGAGCGCACATGTGGTTCTGCTCTGCGCTCTCCTGCTCTGTTGATGAGGAGAGATGGGGAGGGGGCGAGGAGCAGGAGAGGAAGGAATCGAGAGCTTTCTCGTAGCGAGCGCACATGTGGTTCTGCTCTGCGCTCTCCTGCTCTGTTTTGGGGGGCATGGGATATGGACGGACAGGGGGGGTGCATTCAGGATATATACCGTAGCTGTGGGGGGATGGAGTGGAGAGGAGGGAGTTGAGTAACGAGCGCTCATGTGGTTCTGCGCTGCTCTCTCCTGCTCTGTTCAGAGGAACAGGGGAGGGGCGTGGGTTTTGAGTGGAGGAAAGAGAGAGAAAAAATGTTTGACGGAAAGATGGTTTGATGAAAATGAAAAGCGAGGTAGCGAGAAGGATATGAACCATGAAGATACACACTGATACCTTCTACTACCCTGTGCCTGTGCACGCATTGTTCATGGCCCTGTGCACACATTGATCGCTCTCCACCCAGTCACCGCTTTGCACCCACCTTAATCAGTCTGAACCGAGCTGAACTCCGAGATCACCCACTCGTCCGTTATCTTTGCCTTCTTGTGCTTCCCCACCATCGGCGCCCTCCCCCCATACGGGCCATAGGGACTGTACAGATACACACTCACACCCATTGTTACCGCTCTGCATCCACCTTCACCGCTCTGCAACCCATTGTCACCGCTCTGCAACCCATTGTCACCGCTCTGCACCCACCTTCATCGCTCTGCACGGAGCTGAACTTTTAGATCACCCACTCGTCCGTGATCTTGGCTTTCTTGTGCTTCCCCACCATCGGCGCCCTCCCCCATACGGGCCATATGGAGCATACAGGTACTTCTGCCTCACTCCCTCCCTTACTACCACTGTCACCACTGCGCTGCACGAAATTTCACCGACCTACACCCACCGTCACCCTCTGCAACCCGCTGTCACCGCTCTGCACCCACCTTCATCAGACTGAACCGAACTGAACTCCGAAATCACCATTCGTCCGTGATCTTGGCTTTCTTATGCTTCCCCACCATCGGCGCCCTCCCTCCATACGGGCCATACGGACCATATAAGTACTTCTGCCTCACTCCCTCCCTGCTCCATTCTACCCTCCCCCTCTCACTCCCCCTCTCATTCCTCCCCCTCTCCCTCCTCTCCATTCTCCCTTTCCTTCTTTCTCCTTCATCCTCTTCCTCCTCCTCTTCTTCTTCTTCTTCCTCCTCTGCCTCCTCCTCGTCTTCCCACCACTCATTGCTTCTCCCAACAATCCCCTCTCTCCTCCTCGCTCTTGCTGCTGCTGCCTCCTCTGCTGCTGCTCTTGCATCAGCCTCTGTTGGAGAGGAGAAGGGGAGCAATAATAAAAGAAGTCGAAGATTGGAATAATAATAGTAGTAGTAGTAATAATAATAATAATAATAAAGAAATGAACGGCTTTGCAGTACTAGCAATTTCCTCTTTCCTCCTCCAAAACCCCCACTAACCTGCCTGTCTCTGCATCCGCCTCTCTGCCTTACCCTCTTTCTTCAATTCGTCCCCCTCATACGCACTCAGCAACTCCCATCCGTCCCCCTCTATTCCCGTTTCCGCCTCTCTTTTCCCAACCACCACACTGCTCACCTGCCTGTCTCTGCATCCGCCTCTCTGCCTTACCCTCTTTCTTCAATTCGTCCCCCTCATATGCACTCAGCAACTCCCATCCGTCCCCCTCTATTCCCGTTTCCGCCTCTCTTTTCCCAACCACCACACTGCTCACCTGCCTGTCTCTGCATCTGTCTTTCTGCCTTCCACACTTTCTTCGACTCATCCCCCTCATACGCGCTCAGCAAATCTGCGTCCTCCCTCCTCCTCCGCCCCGCCCCCCCTCTCACACCCGCCTTGGGCCATCCCGTAAAGCCCCGCTTAAACCCTTTCTAAACCTCCGCTTAAACCGCCTCTTGAACCTCCGCTTAAACCTCCTCTTGAACTTCCGCTGAAACATCCTCTTGAACTTTCGCTGAAACCTCCTCTTGAACTTCCGCTTAAACCTCCTCTTGAACTTCCGCTTAAACCTCCTCTTGAACTTCCGCTTAAACCTCCTCTTGAACTTCCGCTTAAACCTCCTCTTGAACTTCCGCTTAAACCTCCTCTTGAACCTCCTCCGAAATCTCCTAAACCCTGATCCGAGCCACCTCGACCCATGGCCCCTCCACCTCCCCTGCTCCTTTCCCCTGCTCCTCCCCCTCCCCTTCCCTCTCCCCTTCCCCTTCCCCCTGCAACCCGCCCGAGTGTTTCGCTGCTCTCCCCCCTCTCCCGCGCGCTCCCCATATCCCCGTCTGTTACTGCAAGACCTGTGCCCTCCACGTCACGCCTGCTGCCACGTGGTCCCTGTCCACGTCCTCGCCCGGGCTGCTGACGTGGCAGATTCGCTGTTCCGCCGCCTCCCCTACCAACCGAATCCCGCCTGTTTCCGCTCTCCCGCGGATCAGATTCCGCTCCGATCGCATTCCCCCCGCCCGCCCTCTGCCCCTTCCGCTATCCGCGTTTCCCCTGCCCCGCCCTCCAACCCTTCCGCCCCGAGTTCCCCCCTCCCCAGACGCTGCGCGCCCTCCCCTCCCGCCAGACCTTCCGCCCTCTGCGCGCCTTTCCGCGCGGATCTGGAAACTTGCAGGGAATAGGGGAAGAATGGTCCCCTCTTCTCCCCGAGCAGCTGCGGTTTCAGAGTAGAGCGAACTTTTTCGAATCCTGTGGGTGTCAAGCAATCTCAGGGGGGTTCTGGGGGAGCGGAAATGGCGCACGGGGGTGCTCGAGTGGCGCAAGCCAACAAGCGGAAGCAGCGCGCGCGGCTGCGGGGGTGAGACAAGCGCGCCCATGGCGGCGAACTGCGATAGTTACAGGGCATACGCATCTGGTGGAATACAGACGGAGTCCTGCGGGCTAGAGGACCCGCCAGAATGATGAGTCCTGTACTCGTTACAATACTGAGGAGTGCACGTACAAAAAAGACATAATATTTCTCAGTAAGAACGACGAGCATAATCCATACGATTGGGATGCATGCCTATCCCGTTACCTATGTAAAATATATACAACCTCTTCAAAGTCATTGACCCTTTTCAAGATTTCTATAAAAGTCATAGGTTTCATAACCACGTATTTACATTATCAACTGGTCTCCCTTATCGCGGATACGTCCAGTGGCTCACGTTCCTCCACGACGCCGCAAATCGCGGCTTGCCGTTCGTCCATTTCAAAACCAAGCCAGCCGTCTCTCACAATTGCACAGCACACGTAGCACACACAGATTCTTTCATGCTCCAGCAGACTCTAACTCATACATCACGCTAGTCTGGTCCGGTATAGTTTGTTTGGCTTGACATTCTACGAGCTTCTTTCCGGTTCTGCAGGCAGACTCACCATCAGTCTTGTGGTCTCCGCAAACGGCGCCGGCGCAGTCTTGCAGTCGGAAAGCTGCATTGCCGACGCAAGCTAAATATTGCGCTAATAACTCGTTAACTGTGACTCCATACTCTATTTTAGTTCGGAAACTTCAATACACTTCTATTCGAGCCACAGTGTTCAAGCAGGGAGGCGCGTCGTTCGCTTTTTAGGAGCCACCATGGCACATGTAGGTTGCACTCGCGCTTCGTCCTTAGTTCGCCTATCGCCGCTCGTTCCCGAGCACGCGGAAGTCGCGTTCACGCAAGCCCACAGTGTCACTCTCACAGCGCCCACGCACTCCCGCTCCTCGCGCCGCTTCCGTCGCCGCGATTCCCGCTGTCTCACTCCTCGCCGCATTGCCAGCGTCCGCGGCGGCGGCGCTTGCGGAGGAATCACCCGCTACCGACAAGTGCGATCCGCCGTCGGGAGCTTAATAACTGCCGCGGAGGATCTTGAACGGCGCCGCCTCGTCGGCAGCCGGAGTTGATAAAGCGCGATCCGCTGTGGGGAGTCTAGTTTCCGCCGCGGAGGATCTGAAACGCGCGGCGGCTTCCGCGTACCGCGATATTGCTGGCGCTGGCGGCGCGGGATCCGCGGGGGGGGACGGCGTGGGGGGGGATACCGCGCAGTTTGGTTCTGCGGTGGGGGATATAGTCTCTGCGACGGGAGATCTCGAACGCGCCGCTGTTGGCATTTTTGAAAAGGCTGTGTCAGCAGAAAGAGAGCGTGTCGGAGCAGGTGGGTTGGACCCATAGGGTTACCTTAGGAAGTTACCACTCTTGGCCTGTGGCATTTTTCGACGCGCTGTGTCAGCGGAAGAGAGTGTGTCGGAGCAGGTGGGTAATAGGAAGTCATGGGTTACCATGGGGTTACCGTGTTTGAACGGGCGGAGATGGTGGAAGAGGGCGTGTGGTCGGAGCAGGTGGGTAATATCAAGTCAGGGTTAACTATGGGGGTTACCGTGTTTGGCGGGCGGAGGAGGTAAAAGAGAGCATGTCGGAGGCAGGTTGGCGAGGGGGAAGGCAAGGGAGAGGGGGATTATGCGCAGTTCTTTTCCTCCGGCGAAGTTTATTAGTACTGACACTAACGAGAAAGTGACTAACGTGAACGTGAGTAGCGGAAAAGTAACTCCCACTCGTTTGATGCATGTGAAGCTTCTGCGGCTGGCAGCAATGCACAGCAGGCGGAGCGGAGAAGCTTTCATGGATTTTGGTGGAGAAGCACTACAGACGGACTTGGGAGAGGTGTGGCGAAGTTAATGTTTTTCTTCTTTCTTTCTTTCTTTCTTATTCTTCCTCGTGAACCGTGCATGCATGCAGGTGGGCAGGCTGCTTGGGTCGGGTGCGCGGAAGCGACGCAGAAGCTTCTGGAGTCCGGCGGGGAAGCATTGCAGGCGGACACATCAGGGGTGGCGAGGATGATTGGCGACGCTGCCGGCGCAGGGATGGAGGCGGTTGAAAACTATTCAGGAAGGGGCTCCTGCACTGGATGGCGTGTGGTCGGTGAGTGAATGAGAGATTGGATGGCCGGTGGTGCTGGAATCCGGGGGGGGAACAATTCAGGCGGACACAGCAGGTGGGTGGGGTAAGACACGGGGAGGTGTCAACGGGTGAAGAGCACTGCAGGTGGACACAACAGGGTGGCGAGGAAGATCGGCAATGCTGCGGGCGCAGGATGGAGGCATTTGAAAGACTGCTGGGAGAGGGGACTCCATCACTGGAGGGCGTTTGGTCGGTGAGTGCGTGGGAGAGTGGGTGTCTGGTGGGGAAGCACTGCAGGCGGATACGGCAGGGGTGGCGATACACCTCCGTCCTGCTGATACAACTGTCATGTCTCCGTTATGCTGCCACATGCGCAAGGCGTTACCATAAAGATCTGTGCATTGCGAACTAAATCACATTTTTATCCATTGCGAATTCCAATCCCGGCTGCCTATCTGCCTCTCTCTCCTTCCCCACTCCCTTCGTCCCCTACTTTTCTTCTCTCCATTCCAGCTCTCCCTCCAACAAACGGAACCATTTTCAACACTGTGTCATCAGCATCCGCGTTTGTAACAGCTCCTTTAAGCACAGCGTGGGAAGCAGTGCAACTCACTCCAACCAGCTCCGGTCTCCAAACAGTTGCATTTTTACGCCTCCATGAGTGTCTTTCTGCTGGCACTAGCCAGTCAGCCAAGAGAATAGAGCAAGCAGTTCATATTGAGTCTATGAACTGTAAGCTCTTATGTTCTATTGGGTGCGTTGCATGCTAAGAGGCCATGAAGGATGAAGGCCATTATATAATGGCACTTGCTATAATGACCGAGCTCTGCAGTGCCTTCTATAGCTGTATTAGTTCATCTTAGAAATCAACAGAAGTCTATATCGGGGTAGGGATGTTTCACGCTTATGGTTTACTCACGCTGTACCGCGTTTGGAACGAGGAAGCACCGAAGAAAACGTGATCAGTGGCACAAAAAACGATCGTGCGGGACACGCCAGACCACCACCAATTCTGATCAGAATTCCTCATCACGTCATATCGAGGCGGGATGTTTCACAACGGCTATCTGGCTCATCTGGTTTTCTGAATCATACTTATCTATTGGCAGCTATGGCTGCTGCAGCAGCTAGTGCAACGCTCCCGTACAACGGCTGTTTGTCCACCATACAGACAGCAAGCGTCACCGTCCGGCCGTGTAACCAGAAACCACGGGTTGCTCGCCTCTCTTCGTCTTTCTCGCCCGTTGCATTCGCAATTTCAGTCGCGTCGTTCGGTAACGAACCTCCAGAAGCAGCTTAAAAACGAGGACAGGTCGGAGAAGTCCGGTTGTTTTGCTCGTTTCACGAGTCGCAGATGGGTCAGCCAGACGCGATCAGCGATTTCGAGAGGAGCATTTTCGGACGCGGAGTTGCGAGGGATGGTGGACGAATCGCTAGTTTTGGTCCTCGCTCACGGACTGGTCGTCGGCGATCCAGACGGTCGAGGTAGGCTCAAGGGAAGATCGGACGGTCGTGCCGAAGCTGGACGGTTCCTAAAAAAATTCAGAGGGTGCGATAACGATGTGCGAGGTAGTGTTGAGTCAGCGATTTCGAGAGGAGCATTTCAGACGCGGAGTTGCGAGGCATGGTGGACGAGTCGCTAGTTTGGACGTTCGCTCAACGGACTGGTCGTTCGGCGATCAGACGGTCGAGGTAGTTCAAAGGAAGATCGGACGTTCGAGAAGAGCATTTTGGACGCGGAGTTGCGAGGCATGGTGGAGGAGTCTCTAGTCCAGTCCTCGCTCAACGGAACTGGTCGTCGGCGATCAGGTCGAGGTAGGCTCAAAGGAAGATCGGAGGGGGCCGAGGTAGCCCAAAAGCGGAGATCCGATGGCTGAGGGAAGATCAGACGGTCTAGGTCCGGCTGGAGGGAAGATCGGACGCTCCATTTTGTATTTCCCCAACATGAGGGCAACTGGTACTTAGCAGTTGGGGGCTGGCTTGGAAGAGAAGACCATGATTAGAAGTACTTTGAGATACCGAAGGAGCTCGCTTGGCTGCATGCATATGGATTAGGTGATGGGGCACTCATGTGTTGAGCGAGCTTGGATACCGTGAATGCCTTTGTCCCGCATTCCCAGTCTTGTATTCTTAGTGTCATACCCCTCCCATATTCCCTCACTCACCCCATACCCTCCCATTCTAACGCCGTCCTTCCCGCTTTTACACGACTCGGGGTCGGTTCCTGGATCGAGCCTGGTCACGCGCTAGTGACGCTACTCCACGCCGCTCCAACCACACCATCTCCATTCACCAGCACCAACTTTTTCTTCCCGACAACTTTTTTTCATGGCCTACAGGACTCGGTTCCGTTCCTGGATCAGGGTTTGGTCCCCGCGCCAGTGATGCTGCTCCCGCGCCCTTCCCAGCACACTATTTACCATTCACCCCCACCACTTTTTCCCTGCAACTCCTCCCGCCTGTCCTCCGTTCCTGTATCAGTCTTATTCCCGCGCCAGTGACGCTGCTCCCACGTCCTTCCCTTCCCAGCATGCCACCTTTATCCACCAGCACGAATTTTCTCCTTCCCATAACACCCCCCCTGCTCTGCTCCAGGACTCCGGGTTTCGTTCCTGGATCAGGCCTGGTTCCGGCGCCAGTGACGCTGCTCCCCACGCCATTCCACAGCGCACCATTTCCATCCACCCCTACCAGCTTCCTCCTTCCCGCAACTCTTTCTTGTCCTCCAGGACTTCCGGGGTCGGTTTCCTGGATCAGGCCTGGTCCCCGCGCCAGTGACGCTGCTCCCCACGCCCTTCCCAGCACACCACTTCCATCGAGCCGTGGAGCTCGCCCCTCTCTTCAACGCCCTGGTGGATGCAGTCAGCCAGGACGCGGGATTTCCTGCAATCGACTCTCGCAAGGTGAGTTGACCACACACCTCAGCTTCCTGAGCGAGTGAATTCGCTCCCCACCCCACGCCCTTCCCAGCACAACCAATTCCATCGGATAGCGGAGCTCGACCCTCTCTCCAACGATCTTGTCGATGCTGTCAGCCAGGGACGCGGATTCACCTGCAATCTACGCTTGCAAGGTGAGTTCTCTCCTGGCAGGTTAACCACAGTGGCAGGGGTTCACAGTCACTTCAGCTCGCCCCTCTCTTCAACGATCTTGTAGATGCTGTCAGCCAGGACGCGGAATTTCCTGCAATCCACTCTCGCAAGGTGAGTGATCCAGGTTGTGTGGTGTGGTAAACCACCGCACTGACCTGGTAACCACACTAGCCTCATTCCATGCCGGTGACGCTGGTCCTGGCGCACCATTTCCATCGAGCTGGAGCTCGCCCCTCTCTTCAAACGCCCGGGGTGATGTCACCAGTCAGGACTCTTACTTCCTGCAATCCACACTGGCAAGGTGAGGGGTGAGGTGAGGTGAGCTTTCTGGGGAGGGTAGCTGCATTCCTGCTGGCACAATAACCACACTGGTAAGATGGTTACGCACCGCAATCATCTGCTCTCCGATTTCTTTCAGCCTTATTGCAAAAAATCTCTCTACCGTCTCTTTAAAGAGCTGTGAATCAGTCTTCCTTTACCAGAAGAAATTCAGCATCATTCAATGCATCGTATCCCATGCCATGCCATGCCGCCTCTGCCCCACCCCCCCTGTTTCAGTGCAGGGGCGCTCCTGACTCCTTCACAGCCCCACGTCTCCCCTTGTCTCACCTGTCCTGCCATGCCATGCCATGCCATGCCATGCCATGCCATGCCATGCCATGCCGTGCCATGCCATGCCATGCCATGCCATGCCATGCCATGCCATGCCATGCCATGCCATGCCGTGCCATGCCATGCCATGCCATGCCATGCCATGCCGTGCCATGTCATGCCATGCCATGCCATGCCCTCCCCCTGTTTCAGTGCAGGGCGCTCTGACTCTTTCACAGCCGGTCTCCTCCGAATACACGCGGAGATAATAAAGGAGGGCATACAGCAGGTGAGCAGCCTGTAAGGCGAATACCAGGATACAGAAGAGTACAGCCAGTCCAAATGCACACGGAGATAATACAGGAGGGCATACAGCAGGTGAGCAGCCTGTAAGGCGAATACCAGGATACAGAAGAGTACAGCCAGTCCAAATACACGCGGAGATAATACAGGAGGGCATACAGCAGGTGAGCAGCCTGCAAGCAAGGGAACTAAGCAGGTAATCTGTGAGGGAAGCAAGTGAGCTGAGACCATATAGTGCTTCCGGTGGATTGCTGCACATGTAAGCACACAGTAGGTCTTCTCCTAATACCCGTGGACATACTCAAGCATTGAATTCAGCAGGTGAGCAGCCTTATACCCATTATTACCCCAGCCCCCATGGCTGGGCATGGACAGATCTGACTACATGCTGGATACAGTCACCGGGGGCGTGCTGCAGGTGGAGCTCAATCAACACAGGATTAAGTGGCATTCCTCCCCATCCGTCCCCACCCCTCTCCAATGCCTCTCCACTGCTCTTCACCGCTCTCCACCACTCTCTACAGCCTTTACGGTTGGGCATGCACTGGTCGGTCTACATGCTGGACACAGTCACAGGGGGTGTACCGCAGGTGGAGATCAACACATAATCACCAGTCATTGCTCCCCATCCCTCCCCACCGTTGTCCACCCATTTGCATCTCCCTCCACTGCTTCTCCACCACCCTCCACCCCTCAGTCAATAAGGCTGGCTGGGCATGCACAGATCTGACTACATGCTGGACACAGTCACCAGGGGCGTGCTGCAGGTGGAGCTCAATCAACACAGGATTAACTGGCATTCCTCCCCATCCCCCCTCACCCCTCTCCACTGCCTCTCCACTGCTCTTCACCGCTCTCCACCACTCTCTACAGCCTTTACGGTTGGGCATGCACAGATCCGACTACATGCTGGACACAGTGACAGGGGGCGTGCTGCAGGTGGAACTCAACACCATCTCCTCGTCCTTCCCTGGCCTCACTTCACGGGTCACAGACCTGCACAGGTGGGCAGGGAGCTAAACTCAGGAAGCTTGGGATAGATAGGGGGTACTGCGTAGCAGGGCTGGTGGTGTTGCCGGGGATTGCCTTGCAGGGGGTGTGCTGCAGGTGGAGGTCAACACCATCTCCTCGTCCTTCCCTGGCCTCACTGCAAGGGTTACTGACTTGCACAGGTGAGCAGGGGGGGTTACTGGCTGCCTGGTATTGGAGATGACTCTGCTGTGAGGCCGTGCTGCAGGTGGAGGTCAACACCATCTCCTCCTCCTTCCCTGGGGTCACCTTAAGGGTCACCGACCTGGCCTGGATAGGTGGGTTCAACCTGGGGCTGGTTTGGTTCTGGTATACATGGGGCAGAGGGGCGTGTATGTTTTTTTAGAATTCTAAAAAACCTGGGGCTGGTTTGGTTCTAGTATAAGTGTTGCAGCGGGGCGTGTATGTTTTTTGAGAATTCTCAAAAATCCTGGGGCTGGTTTGGTTCTAGTATAAGTGGGGCAGCGGGGCGTGCTGCAGGTGGAGTGGAGCTGAGCTGAGTGGGACTCAACACCATTTCTTCCTCCTTCCCTGGGCTCACCTCCTGAGTCACAGGCTTGCACAGGTGATTGGGGGGGAAGGGAAGCCGGGCGAAGCACAGGAGGTTGGGATAATGTAATACGGAGCAGGGCTGGTGCTGCTCGACACTGTCACAGGAGGGGTGCTGCAGGTGGAGTGGAGCTGAGCTGAGTGGGACTCAACACCATTTCTTCCTCCTTCCCTGGGCTCACCTCCTGAGTCACAGGCTTGCACAGGTGAGTGGGGGGGAAGGGAAGCCGGGCGAAGCACAGGAGGTTGGGATAATGTAATACGGAGCAGGGCTGGTGCTGCTCGACACTGTCACAGGAGGGTTGCTGCAGGTGGAGTGGAGCTGAGTGGGACTCAACACCATTTCCTCCTCCTTCGTCCCTGTGCTGGGCTGACGTCCTGACTCACCGACCTGCACAGGTGGGTAAGAGCCTTTTGGGGCGAGAGAGGAGGATTGCAGGAGAGTGCTAGAGCTAGGAAAACTGATGTGGATCGTTTACCCGTCAACTCCTGTCAACTCCTGTGAACTCCTGTCAATTCCTGTCAACTGCTCTCAACTCCTCTCAATTCCCCACACTTGTTCAGCAACGGATGGCATGATGTACTGTACTCCCTATCCCCTCTCATCCCCACCCTTCCTGCCAGGCACATGGTGGGAATGTATGTTGGAAAGGCATGAGAATACCACCGCCACCTTGTCTGTCAGTGGATGCTATGCTATGCCTCTCAACGAAGCATCAGCAGGCATGATAATACCACCACCACCTCTTCCTTATTCCCCTCTTGTTTTCTGTCTCTGCTTTCACTTGTCCTGTCACCCATCCTCCCAGGCACATGGTGGGGATGTATGGGGAGAAGGCAGGTCTGTCGGTGGACTCTGTGCCTCTCAACACGGCAGCAATGAACATGAGAATATTCAGACCCCCCCCTTGTTCCTCCCTCCTCTTTCTGCCCCGCATCTCACCCATCCTCCCAGGCACATGGTGGGGATGTATGGGGAGAAGGCAGGTCTGTCGGTGGACTCTGTGCCTCTCAACACGGCAGCAGTGGACATGGCTGATGCGCTGGCAGCAGCGTGGAGGGAATACGGGGATGAGAGGTAGGTGGGTCACGTTGCTGTGCAGTAGGCTGGGTGCTGTGCGGTAGAGCTGGGTGCTGTGTGTGCAGCAACGGACATGGCAGATGCGCTGGCAGCAGCGTGGAGGGAATACGGGGATGAGAGGTAGGTGGGTCACTCACGATGTGGTGCGGTAGGGCTGTGTAGTGTGTGGTGGTAGGGATGGGTGTCGTGCATTGAGGTCGTTTTTGAGGCGCCTCAAAAACGACCTCGATGTGGTGCGGTAGGGCCGTGTAGTGTGTGGTAGGGATGGGCGTCATGTGTGCCTGTTAACTCTGCAGCAACAGACATGGCAGATGCGCTGGCAGCGGCGTGGAGGGAATACGGGGATGAGAGGTAGGTGGATCATGCTGTCATATGGTAGTGCTGGGTGCTATGTGGTAGGGCTGGGTGCTGTGTGGTAGGGCTGGGTGCTGTGTGGTAGGGATGGGTGCTGTGTGGTAGGGCTGGGTGCTGTGTGGTAGGTCTGGGTGTTGTGAGCTTAAGCCATTGCAAAAGCCAGAATGCAGCACATACGGCCAGCACTGACTGACCGGCACAGCACGTGTGGACCCCCACCCACCCATCCCTCTTTTTGAGTCGACTCAACAATAGTACGACCAGCACTGACTGATTGGCACAGCACGAGTGGACCCCCACCCACCCATCCCTCTTTTTGAGTCGACTCAACAATAGTACGACCAGCACTGACTGACCGGCACAGCACGTGTGGACCCCCACCCACCCATCCCTCTCTTCACCATCCCCCTTCCGTTTCTATTTGCCCTCTCCCTACCAACCCGCGTGTGATGAGTCGATTTTTGAGTCGACTCAAAAGCCAGAATGCAGCACGTATGACCAGCACTGATTGGTACAGCACGTGTGGACCCCCACCCACCCATCCCTCTTTTTGAGTCGACTCAACAAAAGTACGACAGCACTGACTGATTGGCACAGCACGTGTGGACCCCCACCCACCCATCCCTCTTTTTGAGTCGACTCAACAATAGTACGACCAGCACTGACTGATTGGCACAGCACGTGTGGACCCCCACCCACCCATCCCTCTTTTTGAGTCGACTCAACAATAGTACGACCAGCACTGACTGATTGGCACAGCACGTGTGGACCCCCACCCACCCATCCCTCTTTTTGAGTCGACTCAACAATAGTACGACCAGCACTGACTGATTGGCACAGCACGTACGACCAGCACTGACTGATTGGCACAGCACCCCCCACCCACCCATCCCTCTTTTTGAGTCGACTCAACAATAGTACGACCAGCACTGACTGATTGGCACAGCACGTGTGGACCCCCACCCACCCATCCCTCTTTTTGAGTCGACTCAACAATAGTACGACCAGCACTGACTGATTGGCACAGCACGTGTGGACCCCCACCCACCCATCCCTCTTTTTGAGTCGACTCAACAATAGTACGACCAGCACTGACTGATTGGCACAGCACGTGTGGACCCCCACCCACCCATCCCTCTTTTTGAGTCGACTCAACAATAGTACGACCAGCACTGACTGATTGGCACAGCACGTGTGGACCCCCACCCACCCATCCCTCTTTTTGAGTCGACTCAACAATAGTACGACCAGCACTGACTGATTGGCACAGCACGTGTGGACCCCCACCCACCCATCCCTCTTTTTGAGTCGACTCAACAATAGTACGACCAGCACTGACTGATTGGCACAGCACGTGTGGACCCCCACCCACCCATCCCTCTTTTTGAGTCGACTCAACAATAGTACGACCAGCACTGACTGATTGGCACAGCACGTGTGGACCCCCACCCACCCATCCCTCTTTTTGAGTCGACTCAACAATAGTACGACCAGCACTGACTGATTGGCACAGCACGTGTGGACCCCCACCCACCCATCCCTCTTTTTGAGTCGACTCAACAATAGTACGACCAGCACTGACTGATTGGCACAGCACGTGTGGACCCCCACCCACCCATCCCTCTTTTTGAGTCGACTCAACAATAGTACGACCAGCACTGACTGATTGGCACAGCACGTGTGGACCCCCACCCACCCATCCCTCTTTTTGAGTCGACTCAACAATAGTACGACCAGCACTGACTGATTGGCACAGCACGTGTGGACCCCCACCCACCCATCCCTCTTTTTGAGTCGACTCAACAATAGTACGACCAGCACTGACTGATTGGCACAGCACGTGTGGACCCCCACCCACCCATCCCTCTTTTTGAGTCGACTCAACAATAGTACGACCAGCACTGACTGATTGGCACAGCACGTGTGGACCCCCACCCACCCATCCCTCTTTTTGAGTCGACTCAACAATAGTACGACCAGCACTGACTGATTGGCACAGCACGTGTGGACCCCCACCCACCCATCCCTCTTTTTGAGTCGACTCAACAATAGTACGACCAGCACTGACTGATTGGCACAGCACGTGTGGACCCCCACCCACCCATCCCTCTTTTTGAGTCGACTCAACAATAGTACGACCAGCACTGACTGATTGGCACAGCACGTGTGGACCCCCACCCACCCATCCCTCTTTTTGAGTCGACTCAACAATAGTACGACCAGCACTGACTGACCGGCACAGCACGTGTGGACCCCCACCCACCCATCCCTCTTTTTGAGTCGACTCAACAATAGTACGACCAGCACTGACTGATTGGCACAGCACGTGTGGACCCCCACCCACCCATCCCTCTTTTTGAGTCGACTCAACAATAGTACGACCAGCACTGACTGACCGGCACAGCACGTGTGGACCCCCACCCACCCATCCCTCTCTTCACCATCCCCCTTCCGTTTCTATTTGCCCTCTCCCTACCAACCCGCGTGTGATGAGTCGATTTTTGAGTCGACTCAAAAGCCAGAATGCAGCACGTATGACCAGCACTGATTGGTACAGCACGTGTGGACCCCCACCCACCCATCCCTCTTTTTGAGTCGACTCAACAAAAGTACGACAGCACTGACTGATTGGCACAGCACGTGTGGACCCCCACCCACCCATCCCTCTTTTTGAGTCGACTCAACAATAGTACGACCAGCACTGACTGATTGGCACAGCACGTGTGGACCCCCACCCACCCATCCCTCTTTTTGAGTCGACTCAACAATAGTACGACCAGCACTGACTGATTGGCACAGCACGTGTGGACCCCCACCCACCCATCCCTCTTTTTGAGTCGACTCAACAATAGTACGACCAGCACTGACTGATTGGCACAGCACGTGTGGACCCCCACCCACCCATCCCTCTTTTTGAGTCGACTCAACAATAGTACGACCAGCACTGACTGATTGGCACAGCACGTGTGGACCCCCACCCACCCATCCCTCTTTTTGAGTCGACTCAACAATAGTACGACCAGCACTGACTGATTGGCACAGCACGTGTGGACCCCCACCCACCCATCCCTCTTTTTGAGTCGACTCAACAATAGTACGACCAGCACTGACTGATTGGCACAGCACGTGTGGACCCCCACCCACCCATCCCTCTTTTTGAGTCGACTCAACAATAGTACGACCAGCACTGACTGATTGGCACAGCACGTGTGGACCCCCACCCACCCATCCCTCTTTTTGAGTCGACTCAACAATAGTACGACCAGCACTGACTGATTGGCACAGCACGTGTGGACCCCCACCCACCCATCCCTCTTTTTGAGTCGACTCAACAATAGTACGACCAGCACTGACTGATTGGCACAGCACGTGTGGACCCCCACCCACCCATCCCTCTTTTTGAGTCGACTCAACAATAGTACGACCAGCACTGACTGATTGGCACAGCACGTGTGGACCCCCACCCACCCATCCCTCTTTTTGAGTCGACTCAACAATAGTACGACCAGCACTGACTGATTGGCACAGCACGTGTGGACCCCCACCCACCCATCCCTCTTTTTGAGTCGACTCAACAATAGTACGACCAGCACTGACTGATTGGCACAGCACGTGTGGACCCCCACCCACCCATCCCTCTTTTTGAGTCGACTCAACAATAGTACGACCAGCACTGACTGATTGGCACAGCACGTGTGGACCCCCACCCACCCATCCCTCTTTTTGAGTCGACTCAACAATAGTACGACCAGCACTGACTGATTGGCACAGCACGTGTGGACCCCCACCCACCCATCCCTCTTTTTGAGTCGACTCAACAATAGTACGACCAGCACTGACTGATTGGCACAGCACGTGTGGACCCCCACCCACCCATCCCTCTTTTTGAGTCGACTCAACAATAGTACGACCAGCACTGACTGATTGGCACAGCACGTGTGGACCCCCACCCACCCATCCCTCTTTTTGAGTCGACTCAACAATAGTACGACCAGCACTGACTGATTGGCACAGCACGTGTGGACCCCCACCCACCCATCCCTCTTTTTGAGTCGACTCAACAATAGTACGACCAGCACTGACTGATTGGCACAGCACGTGTGGACCCCCCACCCACCCATCCCTCTTTTTGAGTCGACTCAACAATAGTACGACCAGCACTGACTGACCGGCACAGCACGTGTGGACCCCCACCCACCCATCCCTCTTTTTGAGTCGACTCAACAATAGTACGACCAGCACTGACTGATTGGCACAGCACGTGTGGACCCCCACCCACCCATCCCTCTTTTTGAGTCGACTCAACAATAGTACGACCAGCACTGACTGACCGGCACAGCACGTGTGGACCCCCACCCACCCATCCCTCTCTTCACCATCCCCCTTCCGTTTCTATTTGCCCTCTCCCTACCAACCCGCGTGTGATGAGTCGATTTTTGAGTCGACTCAAAAGCCAGAATGCAGCACGTATGACCAGCACTGATTGGTACAGCACGTGTGGACCCCCACCCACCCATCCCTCTTTTTGAGTCGACTCAACAAAAGTACGACAGCACTGACTGATTGGCACAGCACGTGTGGACCCCCACCCACCCATCCCTCTTTTTGAGTCGACTCAACAATAGTACGACCAGCACTGACTGATTGGCACAGCACGTGTGGACCCCCACCCACCCATCCCTCTTTTTGAGTCGACTCAACAATAGTACGACCAGCACTGACTGATTGGCACAGCACGTGTGGACCCCCACCCACCCATCCCTCTTTTTGAGTCGACTCAACAATAGTACGACCAGCACTGACTGATTGGCACAGCACGTGTGGACCCCCACCCACCCATCCCTCTTTTTGAGTCGACTCAACAATAGTACGACCAGCACTGACTGATTGGCACAGCACGTGTGGACCCCCACCCACCCATCCCTCTTTTTGAGTCGACTCAACAATAGTACGACCAGCACTGACTGATTGGCACAGCACGTGTGGACCCCCACCCACCCATCCCTCTTTTTGAGTCGACTCAACAATAGTACGACCAGCACTGACTGATTGGCACAGCACGTGTGGACCCCCACCCACCCATCCCTCTTTTTGAGTCGACTCAACAATAGTACGACCAGCACTGACTGACCGGCACAGCACGTGTGGACCCCCACCCACCCATCCCTCTTTTTGAGTCGACTCAACAATAGTACGACCAGCACTGACTGATTGGCACAGCACGTGTGGACCCCCACCCACCCATCCCTCTTTTTGAGTCGACTCAACAATAGTACGACCAGCACTGACTGACCGGCACAGCACGTGTGGACCCCCACCCACCCATCCCTCTCTTCACCATCCCCCTTCCATTTCTATTTGCCCTCTCCCTACCAACCCGCGTGTGATGAGTCGATTTTTGAGTCGACTCAAAAGCCAGAATGCAGCACGTATGACCAGCACTGATTGGTACAGCACGTGTGGACCCCCACCCACCCATCCCTCTTTTTGAGTCGACTCAACAATAGTACGACCAGCACTGACTGATTAGCACAGCACGTGTGAGCCCCCACCCATCCCTCTCTTCACCATCCCCCTTACCTTTCTACTTGCCCTCTCCGTACCAACTCACCCCAAACCAGAGCAGCTCTCTCATCCTGATGGTGGTGGTGCAAAAGCCGGAGCGCAATATGTATGACCAGCACTGCTTCTCCCCCACCACCGCCCCTATCTCTCCCCACCTTTCCCACTGCACTCCCCCAAAGCAGCTCTCTCATCCTGATGGTGGTGCAAAAGCCAGAGCGCAACATGTACGACCAGCAGTGCTTTGTCTCGGCCTGTGCTTTCTTGCTGTTTATCCTAACAGCTACAACTCTGCCCTGTCCATCCCTCTGCTCCCATCCCTCTCTTTAGATCCCTCCAGAGCAGCTCTCTCATCCTGATGGTGGTGCAGAAGCCACAGCGCAACATGTACGACCAGCACTGCCTGTCTTGGCCTGTGCTGTGATGGCACTGCCTGTCTCGACCAGCGCTATTCTGCTGTTTATCCTAACAGCTGCAACCCTACCTTGCCCATCCCTCTGCCTCCATCTCTCCCCAACTTCCACAAGAGCAGCTCTCTCATTTTGATGGTCGTGCAAAAGCCAGAGCGCAACATGTACGACCAGCACTGCTTGGCACAGCTCATGTGGCGTGGTGCGGTCTGCCATTCTTCACCTTCCCTTCCCCTGCCCTCCCACTTGCCCTCTAACTGCCACCACACACCCCCAGAGCAGCTCTCTCATTTTGATGGTGGTGCAGAAGCCAGAGCGGAACATGTATGACCAGCACTGCTTGTCGCAGCTCGTGTGGCAGAGGCACGGGATTAGAGTGCTCAGGAAGAGCCTGAAGGAGGTGCAGCAGCAGGGGGCAATAACAGATAGTGGCGACTTGACAGTGTGAGTGTGTATTTGTATGTGTCTGTGTATGTGTGTGCGAGTGCGCGTTTGTGTGTGTGTTGTGTTGTCAGTGTGAGTGCGAGTGTGAGTGTGAGTGTGAGAGGGTGTGCAAGATGAAGCCAGCATACACGACCAGCACTTTCAGTGCTGAAGGTGCGCATGTGTGTACATGTCTGCATAAAGGAGCTGACCTTTGAATTGACTCAACATTCAGCAATGTGAGTGCTTGCGGGCATGCGAGCGGGTGTGCATGCGTGTACATATATCTGCATAAACGTGTGAGTGTGCACAAGTCGAAGCCAGCATGTACGACCAGCACTATCAGTGCTGAGTGTGTGCATCAAGTGTGCATGTGTGTTCATGTCTGCATAAACGTGTGAGTGTGCACAAGTTGAAGCCAGCATGTACGATCAGCACTGCCTGATGAAGCAAGTGATTGCACATGCTTTGTTTTCCCGCTTTCTGCATGTGTGTGCGTGCATGTGTGTACATGTCTGCATTAATGAGTTCACTTTTGAGTCGACTCAGTGAAGAACAGTTTGAGTGCTTGTGGGCATGCGAGCGTGTGTGCATGCGAGCGTGTGTGCATGCGAGCGTGTGTGCATGCGAGCGTGTGTGCATGCGAGTGTGTGTGCATGTGTGTACACGTCTGCATAAATGAGAGAGTGTGTGCAAGGCGAAGCCAGCATGTACGCTTAGCCTCGTGAAAGAAGGAGTGCTTTGAGACGTCTCACGCTTAGCCTTACTATCAGTACCAATCATAAAGCTGAGAGAGTGTGTGCATGTGGGTGTGTGCGTGCGAGCGTGTGTGCATGCGAGTGTGCTTGTGTT